ATTGGTTTTTAGTCTGTTTTTAATGTTTTAAAAATCAGACGGACTTACCTGTGTGTTAACGACATCGATTAATACGTAATCTTGATGCTGTGCATGCAACCAAAACGAACAGTTAGTGGAATATAAAAGAAAAAACAGTTAGCAAGGCAAAACAGTAACAAGCAATAAAAAAAAACATTCGAAAAGTTTAAGTATAACTACAGAGTTATAAATAAATTGTAATAAATATACATATCGTACAATTCTAAAAAAAAAAAACGAATTTGTATTTTATTTAGGCAAAAATATATGATAATAAACTTGCAGGTTAAAGCAGTTTGACAAAGCCTAACAATTCTGTAAGATATGTATATTTAAGAAAAAAAACACCACTTAGTTCAAATAAATACCAAATAAAATAAAAAAAATATATTAAAAAAAATATAGCCTGTATAACCAACGCTCATCATTACGTCATATTATATTCTCGTACTCTATTCTTCAGGTGAAAACAAGATGAAATAGATTATGGAAGTTTACATTTTTATATGATTAAAAAAGTACAAATTAACTATCGTTAGGGATAATCCTAGGAACAGCCTGTTAATTTTAAGTTTCTTTATTTATAGTTGTATATCAATTTTTAAAATTCATATTCAAATTTGGCGCTTGGATGATAGATATTTCCTGACCAAGGATAGATAGCGTAGTAGTAATGCGTATGCAACAGATAAATAAGATAATAGTACGTCGTTGATATATTTACGACAATTTTTCAAGTTATTCACATATCTACGTAAGGATATATGATCTAGGTATTTAATAGCAATATAAACTGATCTCAGACACGCCCTAAAGCGGATATTAGATAAATAATGATGACGTAACGTTGAATGATCTTTGTACGGACTATAGCAGGGATATCTTAAAATAGTTTAATCATTAAACAAAAGACTCAAGAAGGAGTAAAATCAAGAAACCTTTGGAGTGTTTTAATATCAATGACTTCCCGTTGATCAAAACAAATTGATTTGTTTTTAAGTTGAATTAATTAACTATTGTTAATTAAGTTGTTCCTTTTTATTTCTCGTTTTTAGTAATGATTGCAAGCTGAGCAAATTACTGAAATTCCTCCAAGATTAACAAAAATCTCACTGTAATTCAAGTTCTGACACAATATCTTACCAGATGTATACACTTTGCGTAAAAGAAATTATAAAACAAACGAGAAATACTACAAAATACAAACAGAAAAGCGCTCACTGAACTCAAAACTCGTTCCTTAGTCTTTTTGTCTTGTTACACTAATTTAACATGCCTGATGATACAATGTTAAAACAAACGTTTAAATTTTAAGTTATCCCTGTTTTTTCTTAAGTATACTATACCATACTGCCACAAGGTTAATATTAAGTAGAGGTGGTAAAGTAGGACGAAATATACAAGGGGTGCGGGAGTTAGCATAGAGACGAACGACACACCTTTTGACTCACCGTATGTCCTGTTCGGAGGCGGAGCCTCCGTAACCGTCAGTTTCGTCGCCCGACGTCTCATAACCTAAAAATATAACAGAATGATAAATAATCATAACAAAATCAAACTAGGATAATGCATGAGCCATTAAAAAATTAGTTCTTTTTTTGATGAGAGAGATAGTTAATAAAAAAACCCGGCAAACTCCATAGATAGGCCGAGAATTATAATTATTATTACAAATAAACAAATTACCTTTGAGTTTGTATCTAGCCTGCCTAATAGCAGCTAGCTTGCTTCTTGCATCATCTAACTCTCTCTCAATCCTGACCACTTCAGATTGAGCATCCAATTCTTGGGCAATACCTCCAACCATTTTTTTGTTTATTACCAGATATCTGAAAGAAAGAAATAATATATATTACCGGAAAAAACACTAGTTAAAGTATTCTACTATATATTTTTTATTATCTTAAATACATATATAAATTTTAGTCAGTAATTTTGGATCTATTAATCATTCTTTTTAGTGTGTGTTTAATATTCCGTTTGTGATGTATTGAAAACTTCTTACAAGGTCAGAACTTATCACCATGATACCATGATGATTTTGTTCAATTCACTTGTCAAAATTTAGGGCAGAGGATAGGAAGAGGAACACAATAGAACTGGAAGTGTCGTTGCCCAATAGGCCAATAGAACGAAAGAGTTTTTCTTTTACCAAAGATCCAAAATGTCTTTTAATTCAACCCACCTTTCTTCTTCGACTTGTTTTGATTGCTGAGCGGCTCTGACTAAATTATCTGTTGATCTAATAACCGCATTTCCGGCAGCGTGTAGCCTTCTCGTAGCGTCCGTATCTCCCTCGGCTTTAACTTTGCAAGCGACCAATAGGTGCGCTGTTGAACTGGCAACTTGCTTAGCAGCAGCAATCAGCTTGTCTTCGCTACCCAAGCCTAACCAAAAAAAAAAATATGTTAATATACATTTGTTGGTAATAGTCTTTGTCTTTGTTGGGAACACAATAAAATTAAAATATTAGGTATTACCTTGGACTAGAGCATTAGCACTTTCTACCAAACTATGCGTTGCTGCTGCTACAAGCCTGGCAGCTGATATAAGACCTTCCGACCACTGGCCATCATCAGAAGATGATATTGGATGTCTGCAAAGTAAAATGTTATATTAATATCGCAATTATAGTACTGCTTAAATATTTTTATAACCTATAAGGTCTATGTTAAGCAGGGTTGGAAAAAATCATGATTTTTTTAAAAAAATCAAAAAAATCAGATTTATTTGATTTAAATCAGATTTTTTTGATTTTAATTCAAAACAATGTTTAAATCGGATTTCCAAATGACTAGGACTTATTTCCAATTAAAGTCCTATCCTAAATGGCTAAATTTTTATAACTCTGCCCGTTATCGATAACATTAATAATTCTAGGGTGCGTTTGTCATATTTCCACATCGGTCACCAATATATTTAGCAAAAAAATCGCTCGCTTTAGATCAAAAGGATTTTTTTTCAAACGTCTCAAAAGTATTAATTTTTGTCATTTTAACGCCTAGGTATGTAAAGCACTGTTACGCCTAAGCACAAAAGTACAAAAATATATTATTAAACTGATATTAAGTGTCAAATTCAACGAGTGTTCCAATTGTTGCTCGATTCCTGTTTATATTATTTGCAATGTTTGAAATTGATTAAAAATGATTTGTAATGTTTTAAAAAAATAGTATGTATGTTCTATTGGGAGTAAAAATGTACTTTTTGTCCTTCCTTGTAACGTCGGAATAGCTTTACGATGGTCCTTCAAAGGTACAGCATCATCAAAAAAAGTATAATTTTTCTCCTAATAAAACAATACATTATTGTTCGGAAATACTCTTAAGTCGAGACTGAAATTAGTATTAGTCAAAGTGTAAAATACTCACTGCAGATCAAAATGTCGGTAAGAATTTGGAAAAATACAACCATTTCAAAAAAAATATAAAACAACATATTTCCTGACAACAATTATTATTATAGATTCTCGGGAATGAAGATATAGTCTCTATATCAGAAGAACCTAGTTCTGCACTAGACTGCGATGATATGTATTCGAACAGCGAATTTTTGTCACTTATACATAAATTTTAAAATAAATCCCTGCGTTTAGCGGTCTAATGGATTCACACGAAATTACTTCAAAAATCGGTCCAACATTTAAATTGATGAATAGATACTTTTTTTAAATAGTTTTATAACATTTACGATTACTTTCGATTTATTATCTGTTATATCTTTTATAGAAATATTTTTTATAGTTTTCTAGGACACATTTTTATAACTTTTACAGTTATTTTTTGATTTATAATAAAGTTGTAATATTTTTTTTTATTTAAATCAATGATTAAAATTAAAAAAATCACTTGATTTAAATCGATTTAAATCAAATGATTTAAATCATGATTTAAATCGTGATTTAAATCATGCCAACCCTGATGTTAAGTAAACTAACCTTGACACTTTTCCACTGTCAATTAGTTCCCTCTGAGCGGCGCTGGCGGCTTTGATCAAAGCGGAAGTTGCGGCAGTGATAGATTTGGCGGCTTCTAGAATCATTTCGTCGAAGTTCATCGATTCAAATCCTGGATCTTGAGTCTGGAAGGAATCATAAAATAAAAAAAAAACGTATTTAAACACTTATTATACGGTAAACAGGATTTTTTTACAGCTTTTATGCATGGAAACGGTCGATTATTAGGTAAAATATAGGAGGTGCCGCAAAAAGTTAAATATAGAAGTTATAGGGTTTATAAATATCTATTAGCGGGTAATAAATTTAAGTATACAGGGTCCGTCATAAAGTCGTGGCAAATCAAAGTTTCATTTTGTTAAATGGAACCCCCTGTATATTATTGCATATTTCAGTTCTTCCTTCAATTCTAAGCAAAAATCGAAATACACACAATGTACCTCATACCAACCGTTCCCGAGTTATTGACTTTTGAAAATATCACTTAAACAATTTGATTTCATTAATTTCGATATGTTCAGTTTCATTTAACGATGTCATTTTGCCGAAACTGTGATACCTAATAATATTTGACATTAGTTCTCAAGTTAGCATTTATAGATGTATAAAATGAGAGTATAGCGAGTCTGGAAATTACAAAATTTTCGATTTCGAACATTTCAATTCTTTAATTTATGTACATTGCGTATTACGATTATTGTTTAAAATTGAAGAAAGAATTGAAATATGCAATAATATACAGAGGGTTTCATTTAAAAAAAAATAAAGTTTGATGTGACACAACTTCATGACCGACCCTGTATACTTAAATTTACTAGTAGCTAATAGGAATTTAAAAACCCATTACAACAGTATCACAGTTGAATGGGTCACAGAATGGCATCATTAAATCAAACCAAACACATCGAAATTAATTAAATCGAATTGTTTAAATGATATTTTCAAAAGTTAATAACTCGGAAACCGTTGCTTTGAGGTACATTGTG